CCCTGCTCTTATTCCCTTTCTACATATTCTCCAGCAACCTGTGCTGCAAAGCTTATTCTTCTGGCTCAGCTTCTTCGTGCTCACTGCTATCTCCGCCTGGGCTGGCCTTCTCCCCACATTGATCTCTGCCCAAATGTCACTTCCCAAGAGACTCATCCTACAAAAAAGGCACCTCCTTCAGTCATTCTATGAGTCTCTACTCTGCTTTATTTTCCTCAGAGTACTTACAGTCACAATTTCATAATAATAGCTTTTTAAATTAAATTTATATTTTTTTTCTTTCTTTTTCTTCTTCTTCTTTCTTCGTTCTCTTTCTTCTTTCCTTCCTTCCTTCCTTCCTTCCTTCCTTCCTTCCTTCCTTCCTTCCCTCCTTCCTTCCTTCCTTTATTCCTTTCTTTCTCTCTCTCTCTTTTTCTTTTCTTTTTATTAGCTTTATTATGTATACAGTGTTCTGCCTGCATGTATACCTACATGCCAGAAGAGGTCACTGGATCTCATTTGTTTTTGTTTTTATTTTATTAATTACACTTTATTCACGTTGTATCCCGCCATAGACCCCTCCCTCCTCCCCTCCCGATACCACCCTCCCACCCCCTTCTTCACACATGCCCCTCCCCAAGTCCACTGATAGGGAAGGTCCTCCTCTCCTTCCTTCTGATTTTACTCTATCAGATCTTATCAGGAGTGGCTGCATTGTCATCTTCTGTGGCCTGGTAAGGCTGCTCCCCCCTCAGGGGGAGGTGATCAAAGAGCAGGCCAATCAGATTATGTCAGAGGCAGTCCCTCATCCCATTACTATGTAACCCACTTGGACACTAAACTGCCATGGGCTACATCTGTTCAGGGGTTCTAGGTTATCTCCATGCATGGTACTTGGTTGGAGTATGAGTCTCTGGGAAGACCCCTGTGTTCAAATTTTCTGGTTCTGGTGCTCTCCTTGTGAGGTTCCTGTCCTCTCCAGATCTTACTATTTCCCACTTCTTACATAATACTCCATGCACATTGCCCGACAGGTGGCCGTAAGTCTCAGCATCTGCTTTGATAGTCTGCAGGGCAGAGCCTTTCAGAGGCCCTCTGTGGCAGGTTCCTAGATTGTTTCCTGCTTTCTTCTTCTTCTGATGGCCATCCTCTTTGCCTTTCGGGATGGGGATTGAGTATTTTAGTCAGGGTCCTCTCTCTTGATTAGTTTTAGATGTACAGATTTTAGTAGGTTTATCCTATATTACATTTCTATATGAGTGAGTATATGCCATGTGTGTCTTTCTGCTTCTGGGACAGCTCACTCAGGATGATCCTTTCCAGTTCCCACCATTTACCTGCAAATTTTATGATTTCCTTGTTTTTCATTGCTGAGTAATATTCCATTGTGTAGATGCACCATAATTTCTGCATCCATTCTTCAGTTGAGGGGCATCTGGGCTGTTCCCAGCTTCTGGCTATTATAAATAAAGCTGCTACAAACATGGTTGAGCAAATGTCTTTATTGTGTTTTTGAGCCTCTTTTTTGATTTATGCCTATGTGTGGTATGGCTGGATCTTGAGGAAACACTATTCCTAGTTGTCTGAGAAAGCACCAGATTGATTTCCAGAGTGGTTGTACAAGTTTACATTCCCATCAGCAGTGGAGGAGGGTTCCCCTTTCTCCACAGCCTCTTTCCATCTTCTGATATCTTCTTCTAATTCTTTCTTCAGAGACTTGAAATTTTTTTCATACAGGTCTTTGACTTGCTTGGTTAGGGTTACACCAAGGTACTTTATGTCATTTGTGGCTATAGTGAAGGGTGTTGTTTCCCTATTTTCTTTCTCAGTCTTTTTGTCTTTTATATACAGGAGGGCTACTGATTTTTTTGAGTTAATTTTGTATCCGGCCACTTTGCTGAAGGTGTTTATCAGCTGTAGGAATTCCCTGGTAGAATTTTTGGGGTCACTCAGGTATACTATCATATCATCTGCAAATAGTGATAATTTGACTTCTTCCTTTCCAATTTGTATCCCCTTGATCTCCTTCAACTATCTTATTGCTCTAGCAAGGACTCAATTCTCCAATAAAAAGACACAGACTAACAGAATGGATGCGTAAACAAGACCCAGCAATCTGTTGCATACAAGAAACACACCTAAGTCAAAAAGATAGACATTACCTGAGGATAAAGGGTTGGAAGCAAATGGACCCAAGAAGTAAGCAGGAGTAGCCATTCTAATATCTGATAAAATAGACTTTTAACCAAAATTAAACAAAAGAGATGGGGAAGGACACTTCATACTCATCAAGTGAAAATTCCACCAGGAAGACATCACAATCCTGAACATCTATGCCCCAAATACAAGGGCACCCACATTTGTAAAAGAAACATTGATAAAACTTAAACCACACATAGATCCCCACACATTAATAGCGGGAGACTTCAACACCCCACTTTCAACAAAAGACAGGTCAACAAAACAGAAATTAAACAAAGAAACAATGTCTCTAACAGAGGTCATGGATCAAATGGACCTAACAGACATTTACAGAACTTTACACCCAAACACAAAAGAATTTACCTTCTTCTCAGCACCTCATGGAACCTTCTCCAAAATAGACCATATAATGGGGTCACAGAGTGAGCCTCAACAGATACAAGAAGATTGAAATAATCCCTTGTATCCTATCTGATCACCATGGAATAAAGCTGGACCTCAACAACAACAGAAATAGCAAAAAGCCTACACACACATGGAAATTGAACAACTTGCTACTAAATGACAGCTGTGTCAGGGAAGAAATAAAGAAAGAAATTAAAGTCTTCCTAGAATTCAGTGAAAATGAAGGCACAACATACCCAAACTTGTGGGACACAATGAAAGCAGTGCTAAGAGGAAAGTTTATAGCACTAAGTGCCTTCAAGAAGAAATTCGAGACAGCTCATTCAAGCAACTTAATGGCCCACTTAAAAACCCTAGCAAAAGAAGAAGCAGACACACCAAAAAGGAGTAGACAGCTGGAAATAATCAAACTCAGGGCTGAAATCAATCAATTAGAAACAAATAAAACAATTCAAAGAATCAATGAAACCAAGAGCTGGTTCTTTGAGAAAATCAACAAGATAGACAAACCCTTAGCTAAGCTAACTAAAAGGCAGAGAGACACCATCCAAATCAACAAAATCAGAAATGAAAAGGGGGACGTAACTACAGACACTGAGGAAATCCAAACAATCATTAGGACTTACTTCAAAAGTCTATATGCCACAAAATTTGAAAATCTAAATGAAATGGACATTTTTCTAAGGTCGATTCGACTTACCAAAGCTGAATCAGGACCAGGTAAATCAATTAAATAGTCCTATATCCCCCAAGGAAATAGAAGCAGTCACCGGATCTCATTTTAGATGGTTGTGAGCCACCAATAGTTGTTGGGATTGAACTCAGGACGTTTGGAAGAGCAGCCAGTGCCCTTAACCTCTGAGCCATCTCTCCAGCCCTAAATTTAATTGCTGTTACTCTTAAAGTTACACAAAGATAGAAATGTTTTCCTTTCCTGTCTGCTATTACATTTACACTGTGCAGGAGAGTCACCAGCCCACAACAAACATTTGTTGGCATATGATCCCTGTGTCTAAAGGTGAGCCTTTATTGATTGTTAAAATATACTGGATATGTAGGACTCATATTTTGGTGTGTGAAGACAACCAACCTACCAACCAACAAAACTAAGTTCCTTCCTTCCTTCCTCCCTCCCTTCCTTCCTCCCTCCCTTCCTCCCTCCCTCCCTCCCTTCCTTCCTTCCTTCCTCCCTTTCCTCCTTCCTCCCTCCCTCTCTTTCTCAGTTCCATCTTCTTTCCTTCCCGTTTTTCTTCAGTGGTGGTGGGTATCAAACATGGGGCCACTGTGCATGCTATGCAAACTTTGTACCACTGAGCTATCTTCCTAGCTGATGACTTTCTTAAATAGGTACGTGCATCAAATTCTAACCTCTATTAGCTACTGTTTAGAATCTCTCTAAGACCAAAATTCCATGAGACTCTTCCTCTGAGACTAAGACAAGCCCTTAGCTCAGGATTCCAGCCTTTTCAAGAATCTTCCTGGAAGGTGGGGCACAGAGAGGGTTAAGGTGGAGGTGGGAGAAAGAAAAAATTACCCATGACCTTTGTCATATGTAAACTTGGATTTAAGTCTGTCTATTTATCAAGTATCTATCTATCTATCTATCTATCTATCTATCTATCTATCTATCTATCTCCTATCAATCATCCGCCTGCCTGCCTGTCTCCATATCATTTATAATGACACAAAACAGAGGATACTGTTCAGGAGGGGAATGAGAAGGGATAACAAGAATTAGGAAATAGGAAGAGTGAAGGCACACATATGAAAATGTAATAAGAAATTCATACTTGTATACTAACTTAAAAAATAGCACAAATAAAAAGGCAGAAACTTCAGAGCTGGTTTAACAAGTATCTGTGTCCTCTTCCCTGCCTCTGATACCTAAGGTTTCTCTTAGTATTTTTTATCCACTGCCTCTCCTCACACTCACCTTGCTTGTTGGTCACATGCCCATCAGTACCCTCCCTGGCTGCATTATAGAGATAGTTTCTCTCATCTATTATAACCGTCTTGACCCTAGGGAAACAATCCTGAATGGAGCCCTCCTTATCATTCTTCATGAGTGTCAGGTGCAATTTCTCTTTAATAATAAAGATGAAGCATTTACCTATTGGACTTGTATCCATTCACCTCATGAATTTTCACTGCTCCCCACCTGACTTTCATGAGCTCTCTGCAGCAGGAAGAGTCAGACAGCCTGTTCTTATTCCTGGGTCTAAAGAATCTGGTTTCTCTAGCACAAGGGTGCAGAGTCAGAATAAAAGTGACCGACTTTTCAAAATCACATCCAGTGTGCGTGCGTGTGTGTGTGTGTGTGTGTGTGTGTGTGTGTATCCCTTTCAGCCACATAGCTGATGTGCTGTGTGCAGCCCTCTCCTGCCTTCATGACCGATGTGAGGCTCAGATTTTACCTGCGACATCAAACTCGATTTCCAGTGTGACTTTGCTTGTGATGGAAGAATCTCGCAGAAGCTGATTGGCTTCCTCGAAGGTGCTGTCTTCTGTTGGAATTCCATTAATGGCCATTACTCTGTCTCCAATCTGTAGCACCCCACATCTAGTGCAGAATGACATGTGAGAAGCTGCAGTTAGAGGAAACAATTGTGGGGCTGAACTTGGCCACCCTGCCTCATTTCATCTTTGCAAAACAGCATAGCCATTTGATCTTGTTGAGTCCATGCTAATTGGCAGGCCTGTTAGGTCAACTGTGACGCCCTGCACTCTTGAACCCCACAGTTACAACGGTGGGCAAGGGGGTTCTTAAGTATCCCAGAGAATTAATAATTCATAACTCTGGTAGGAGTATAATCTCACCAAAATGAACACGAAGTAAAAATGAACGTACATTTCTGCATTGCAGAGAAATAACTTCAGTTCAACTTTAGACATTTTTTTTTTTGAGTGTAGATTTGTCTCCACTATAATTAATACAACCTCTAGTTTTCCAGTGGACAAAATCTGCTAAATAAAATCATTGGTGCTCATAATTCTTCCAAAACCTGATCAAGAACATAAAATTTTATCATCAAAGTCGAGAGTCCATTACATTTTCCTTTCAGCACTGAGCACTGTTCCATAATTTATCAGTTATTCATAGAGAGCTGGTGTCTGAAATGCAGGCCAGAAAGGTTTCTGGGAAAGAGTACCTCACCTCTCCGCTGGGCTGTCAGCTTCAATATAGGAAATCAGAGGCGGGGAGGAGAGCGTCTCTGTGGCAAACACACTGCCCTGCAGCTGGATTCCAAAGCCCGTGACAGGATCAGCCGTCAGCACAACCTCTGTGGTTTCCGTGTGAACAACCTGTCCGGCCAATCCCACAGTGCTGGAGGCTAAAGACACTAGAGGATCAAACGTAAAGAAAGTGACTGGAGGTTCAAGCAGGTGTCTGCATTTCTACAATAGAGTGTACCTAGACAGAAGCTTGTCTGCAACAGAAGGTCTTACAGAAAAAAAGTTGGGTTACACCTGAACAGGGTAAATACGCCTCCCGATCTGTCACACTAGAGTCATGACCAGGGTTGCCACCCCATGCCCCAGAAACTTGTGAAGAGACTGTGGAAATATGAGAGCCTTGGGATCAGAATATGTCATCAAGTCTTGGGCATCACAAATGAGTATCAGCTAAGAAAGAGCTTTTGGCAGGTTGCTCCACTTCCTTGTGTTTGTATTCTCTCTCAGAAAGGGGAGCCTGGGGCTGTATGCTGAGCTCTCCCACTTCAGCCATATGTTATTATGAAAAAGCCAACCTCTGTCTTAAGGAAACAAGCTCTATGTGGCCCCCAGAATGATAGGCTGTGCTGGTCCCCAGTCTTTCTCCAGCATTGGGTAGGCACAGTGAATCATTCAAACTTCATATATTCCTCTTGTCCCCAAATTTGCTTTCTCCATGTTTTCTTCTTGCTTAGCCTCTGGTCATCTCTTGTCTCCCATTTGGTGTGTTTCTCTGGTACTCATGTAAGTCTCCAGCCAGACATCTCTGTCTTATTTTCATGTCCAGCTTTGATCATGACAGGAACACTCCAGTTCTAGATGCCTTTTTTTGCTGTGCCTGCAAAAATGCGGTCTCCTATGCTTGAACAAGCTATCTGTGTGTAAAGGTCTCATAATAAAATGCCACTTTCTCCAAAATAGGTCATTTAGCTTCCTACTTTAATTAACATATATTTCTAACCCCCAGCCCATTCAACAGAAACCCATTATCTTTCACTTTCCTACATGGGACAAAGATTTTTGATACTCTTTGCTCATCCATGATGCTTTTCCTCCTCCAATTGCTATTTAAAATTCCACATTCTATACTTATTCCTGCTGCTTAACCATGGAGCTTAGTTTCCTACTTTTTCTAATGTCCCCGTTTCCTTGTTGGCTTCATGCATTCATTCTTCCACACCCCAACTTTAATTTTTAGCTTCCCCTGTCTTTATCATGGTGACAACCTTCTAACATACTGGGTTTTGTGGCTCTTCAGCTGTCTCCATGTCCTTTACTATCAAATCCATCCCTTTCCAGCTCTCTGTCAACACAGCTCAAGGATGTACCCCACTGTCCTTTAAAAGATCTTCAAGACCTTAATATTTAAATTCTCATTTTTAATCACTTCCTGTATGAGTGACTTTCCCAGCTCTTAAGTGCCTTCTCCATCAAATTTGTAGTACTATTTTCCCGTTTCTTGTCCTTAGGCCTACTGCTTTTCAAACAATATCACGTAGAATAGATATTTCTGCTTTAATAGATATTTCCACAGGTATACCTTTGTATTCTAAATATAAGCGGAATAGCAATAGCTATGTAGGGATGGGAGACTCCAAAGGTCTCCACACCTCACATGAGAACCTTGGGCCTCATCTACCTGTTGCCTTTCATTTTTGTCACTTCTCACCACTCTACTTGGAAGCCTAGGGACCACTTCAGTGAAGTGTCTATGACCCTCAGAGATTCTTAAACACTGCATGACCCTCTAAGCTCTGTACTCGTTCCCCTTTGGTAATGCCCAATCAGCTCCCCATCTGTTACTGAATTGTTGAAACCCATCAGGAAAAAAGTCAGCTCTAAATTCTATATTCTACCGGGCCCTAGAATCCTTTTTTGGATTATGCTCCCTCCCCCAATAAAATTCCTTAAGGATCTATTTAAAATGCCTCCTTCCTTTTAAGGGTTGAATGTCACTTCCTATGAGAATGACAAGATTCAACCATTTAATGAGTGCTTCATCATCAGAATGGCTAAGATCAAAAACTCAAGTGACAATACATGCTGGAGAGGATGTGGAGAAAGAGGAACCCTCCTCCATTGTTGGTGGGAATGCAAACTTGTACAACCACTTTGGAAATCCATCTGGAGCTTTCTCAGACAATTAGGAATAGTGTTTCCTCAAGATCCAGCTATACCACTCCTAGGCATATATCCAAAAGATGCTCAAGTATACAACAAGGACATTTGCTCAACCATGTTTGTAGCAGCTTTATTTGTAATAGCCAGAATCTGCAAACAACTCAGATGTCCTTCAGTTGAGGAATGGAAACAGAAATTGTGGTACATTTACACAGTGGTCTACTGCTCAGCAATTAAAAACAAAGAAATCATGAAATCTGCAGGCAAATGGTGAGATCTAGAAAATATCATCCTGAGTGAGGTATCCTAGAAGCAGAAAGACACACATGGTATATACTCACTTAAAAGTGGATATTAGACATATAATATAGGATAATCATACTAAAATATGTACACCTAAGGAAGCTAACCAAGAAGGAGGACCCTGATAAGATTCTCGGTCTTCATTCAGAAAGGCAAATGAGATGGACAACGGAAGAGGGGGAAAAAAAGGGAATAGGACAGGAGCCTATCACAGAGGGCCTCTGAAAGACTCTACCCAGCAGGATATCAAAACATATGCTGAGATTCATAGCCAAACTTTTGGCAGAGTGCAGGGAATCTTTTGAAAGAAGAGGGAGATAGAAAGACCTGGAGGGAACAGGAGCTCCACAAGGAGAGCAACAGAAACAAAAAATTCTGGGCACAGGGTTTTTTTTCTGGGACTGATTCTCCAAACAAGGACCATGCATGGAGATAACTTAGAACCCCAGCACAGATATAGCCCATGGTAGCTCATTGTCCAAGAGGGTTCCCCAAAAATAGGAACAGGGACCATCTATGACATGAACTCATGGGCTGACTTTTTTATCACCTCCACCTGAGGGGGGGAGCAGCCTTAACAATCCACAGAGGAAGACAAAGAAGCCATGCCTGATGAGACCTAATAGACTATGGTCAGATGGAAGGGGAGGAGGACCTCCTCTATCATTGGACTGAAGAGGGAGGGAAGGTGGGATTGAGAGGTGATGGGGGAGGGGGTTATAGCTGGAATACAAAGTGAATAAACTGTAATTAATAAAAATGAAATAAAAAATAAAAATATCTTCTCTGCTTTCTAGGCCTTCTGGGATTCTAGGCCACTGAGAAAATCTCCCTTGTCGCTTTTCTAAACTTTCCCACCCACTCTCCTAGCTTTTCTGACCTTGCTCTGTAGAATTGTGCTGATTCTGACTCTGCTTCAAATTTGTCTCCTTTTACTCTTTGCTAAAGCTGCTCTCACTGATGACTTTCTGATTGAAAAAAAAAATCAATGGCCTCATTCGCTCTAACTGCAGTGTGGAGACTGGCTATAGGAACATCCCATTCCTTGTAAATTGCTCTTCGGGTGTTGATGAAGGTTTGTTCTTAGTTTCTTACTGTATCAGCCTTGGGCTGTACTGTTTCCACCTTCTGGTACAGGAAACAGATCTTCAACCTGGGTTCTATGCTCAGTTCTCTCATTCTTGCCCTCACCTGCCCATGCGACCTCTGTGGCATTGTCTCTCATTTTTCTAGTTTCAGTGATGCATTTTTTTTTTCACCACAGAGAATTTCTTCATCTACAGACACATCTCAGAAGACTTGAAATTATTTTCTCAATTAAGGAAGTAATCTTGACTTCCTTATTACCTCTGTTTTGTCTGTGAAAAGATGATTATGTTTCTAGTCTCCTGGTCTTGAAATCTAAATGTAGCCTTTGACTCTCTCCCAATTGTCTCAACTCAATCAACTGCCCAGTTGTTAGAGTTGTAAAACTTTTTCCATTTTCACTTTCAAAACCATAATTTGGGCTTTTATTTCAGCCACTCCAATATACATATATATCCGGACTCTTTAATGCTCAGCAATTTTTCAATTCTATTGTCAAATGATTCCTTCTTTAATGATTTATTTCCTAATATTGTTTATCTTCCTTTTAGAAATTATACTTTATTTAAATGCTTCTGAATCAGATAAATAATCAGCAGTCATTATTCGCCCAAATTTTTCTATCATGGAGACCATTGGAACCAGGAGCTTAAGGGACAGTGGGGTGGATCATTTGATTAAGAGAGATAATAAAAAATTGGAAAAAACAAAAACCCTTCTGCTTACCTGGGCATGGTGGTACACGCCTTTTAATCCCAGCACTTAGGAGACAAGGGCAGGTGGATCTCTGTGAGTTCGAGACTCACTTCTTACACAGTGAGTTCAAGACAGCTAGGACTACACAGAGAAACCCTGACTCAAAACAAGGGGGGTGGGCCTGGAGAGATGTCTCAGTGGTTAAGGCACTGACTGTTCCTCCAGAGGACCGGGATTCAAATCCTAGCACCCACATGGCAGCTCACAACTGTCTGTAACACCAAGATCTGACACTGACGTAAACACCAATGCACATAAAGGTAAATAAACTTAAAAAAATAATCCCTTTTCTTCAGCAGGCCCACATCATTCTTTACCGGATGAATTACAGGAAGTACAGGCTTCACTATGTGGAAAAGGAGCAACCCTCAAATCTACTCTTTGCATGGGTGGCTGATGGCTTAATATCCCAATGTGTGTCTTGGGGCTAACACGTTAATTTTAGACCATACTTTTTGCTATCAACGACACAAAACTATTAGAAGATACCATTGCCGATTGGTAGGAAAAGGTTTCTGAAAGTGGTTTTAAGGGGACACAGATTGTCGGGGGTAAGAAGTTTAAAAGAAGAGTTATTTTATTAACACCATAGACAGACAGACAAAAAGAATGGCAGTGGCTCTGAGGAGAGTCCAGATACGAGCATCACAGACAGCCTGGCCAGGGCTCTGAGGACTGGGCTCCCTTTTTAAGGCTTCAGAGGAAGAGGGAAGAGTTTGAAGTGGGATCTTAAAGCCAGGTTCCCTGTTTTCCCAGCAGAAGCTGAGGAAAACAGTGGGGGATGAAGATGTTTGGCCATCTGCACCTCCATGACATAGACTACCTCCCCAGGGTAGAATTCTAGGCTCCTGAAGGTGTGTCC